GACCAGCTTGGGCTGTGGGGACAAAGGGGGCATAAGTGAAGTGTAGGGTCGATTCATAGATTCCATTCTGGCCTAAAAGGAGCATAAAAGTGGGGGTGGGGTGGGAGAGAGAAAACACAACAAACACAACAGTTACAGAGGTAAGCTTTGCGTCAAACTAAACAGCAAGGAATCTGGGACATGGGAGAAAGGACTCTGCAGTGGGACAATGTCAGGAAGGTGAAAATCGGACTCCCTGGGCACCAAGGATACAGGGAATTTGTTCACCCAGCAATACTCTCAAATGGCAAGACTGCCTAACAATCTAGGGAAAATGTCCGGCTGATCAGTGGCGGGCTGTCTGATCTCCGAGCCCTGACTTTCACACGCCTGCCATGGACAGGAGGCCCCGTGGGAGGACCTCTGTGCACTGACCCCCCTGGACTGTGGCAAGCGGAGATGTGATGGCTCGAGTTCACCTTTCAGTCCATGGCCGCATCCACATCAAGCAGATGCCATAACTGGGTTTAGGAGTGCTGGTGGAGGGCCTCCCGAGGAGTGAGGATGGCTGTGTGATGCTAGCAAGCTGACACGGGAGAACATGAGAATGTTCAGCAGGGCGTGCACAGTCACACAGGAATGAATGAGCTTGACACACACACTCGTGTTCGTGTGAGACACTTGCATCCAACATGCACAGAAGTCCAGCAATGCAGGTAAAGGGGGGGCATTCTTTACATTTGTTTTACTGGAAAATACATAAAGAAATGCTTTATAAACATTACAGCAAAAGATTATAAAAATACCATACAGAAAAAGCCAGGAGAAAATGAGGGGAAACCTTAGAAAACTAAAGGAAATACATCAACGAATGGCAGCTAGAGTTTGCCAACAACCTGCTGACCAGCCCCTTGGGCACCTCTGGCCCTGCCTGGGTTACCACAACTGGTCATCTGTGTCATGGAGCCACTCATGCACGAATGTGGTTCAAGTACTTTTGAAAAGAGCGAAGGAAGGGCCCTATGGTTTAATAAAGCTTGGGCACGTGTTTTAGGTGCTTTGAACAGACTCTGAGGATCCAAGATAAACCATTTGTTTCCAAACTACAATTGACATCTAATTAGCATCAAGAATGCTCAGGTTAGTAGACTAGAAGGCTCAGGGTGGGGCTGAATTCTAACGCCCACCAGGACACTCACATGTTTCTTTAAAAATTGCACAAAGTAAAAGCATTAGTCTGCGAGACTTGGTTACAGGAGTCACCCAGGTTAATGTGTTTCCAAAGAACAGCCCCTGACCTTAACTTGACCCTGTCTTGGCTGCTGCAGGGGTGCAGACCTCAGCCGTGCTGGCCTTCTCATTTGGCACCTGAGGCTGAGGTAACAGAAGAAACACAGGTGGGGTCAAGACAGACCATCGATGCTGCACAGAACGGTTCGCACTCCAGAAACTATCACGACCAACTCTGTGGCTTCAGCACAGAGCATTCGGACCTTTATTATTATTATTATTATTATTTTTCCTCTTGGTCTTTCACTTAAAATGTACATGGCTAACTCTATTAAAAATTTAGTAAGGGAGCAGACTTTTCTTTAGATATGTGAATTGTGCAAATCTGCTTCTCTAGCTACACATACGGAGTTATTAGCACCAGATAGGGCTGTTTCATCCAAACTGAGTAAGTGGGAAAGGGAGACAATTATTTCTTAAAATCTGAGCCCCCGATAAGGGAGTTAAACAAACTGTCAGTGCTTTGAAAATTCAGGTCATTAGAACCGATTTTCAAATATTTCTTTCTAAGACAAAGTGTTCTACCCCGACACTGGGCTACTAATGCCTCTTGCTGAGGAGCAGTTAATACACCACATATGCAAATAAAGGAATACATTAAAGGAAACGATCCATTTAATTCTCTTTGGTGAGTGTACTTGTGTAAGTGATTCAGACCAAAAGAACAAAAAAAATCACGATGGTTACTGGATAGAAACACAATGCTCAGGCCAGCTGTGCCACTGGCCGCTCAGTGACAGCGACGGCGTGAGCACCTCCCGCTCAGCGGGCGAGGGCAGCTGCGACACGAGGCTGCCCTCCGAACTTCAGAGGCAGTCTGATTTGATGGCTTTCACTCAGGCTAGAGAACCTACATATTTCTAGACAGTCCTGCAATAATTATAATTCGTCCTTCAGTGTCATTGAACAACCTACCGTGCAAAGCTCAGGGATCCAAAATTTTAAGGGGATTAATCTGAATTTATGTCTTCTGCATATACTAAAATTTGAGAAAATCTCATGTGCAGAGAAATGCCAAAAAGCATAAAAGAATAGAAGACAAAGGAAAGAGTCTGAATAGATTAATAATGAGTAACGAACCATTAACAGCTTCTCTGAAACAAAGTTAGGTAGGGCCCTGGCACTAAATGGTGTTGCTCCATCCCAATTGATTAAGGTGAAAGGGAAGAAACCATTATTCCTTAAAAGTCTGAACCATTGATAGTCATTAAATTGCCAGTTTGAGATCTTAGGTCACTAGAGCCAATTCACAGATACTCATTTCTGAAGAGAAGTCAAAGTAAGAATACTGAAATAGGGCCAAGGAAGAGTTCTAATAAAGGAATAAAAGCAACAAACTAACCCATAGAATATCAAAGATTTTTTTTTTATATAAATTATCACCAGTGTGTTACCTACCTTGCTGGACTCTTCCAACTGAGTACCACGTTTCCAGGCTTCAGAGAAGATGGAGCTCACAATACTCTGGGAGCGGACATGTCCTGCTGGCTGAGTATCAGATACTCCACTGTCAGATTGAGTAGAATGATTTGACTGAGACTCTGTTTAAAATAGATTTTCAAAAATAGGATAAATTAAGTTGTTATTCCGACAGTATGAATATGTACATTTAGCGAGCTCTTTTACACAAGATCAGATGCTATGCAGGACTGCAACAAGTTACTTTTACTCAACTCATTTCATATAAACACAGTCTGAACTTTCCTCTAGAAAACTTTCCTTATCTTAGGGCTAATAGGAAATCTTGATTCTTTTTAAACAGTTCACCATGACAGACTGAACATTACAATGAAAGATTCGTGTAACGTTACTGGTATCCTGACAACCTTGAAGAGGTGTTCTTGCCTTGCCTGGAGGCCAGGCTACAGTGTAGCTGCTGCCTGGTGGTGCCAGGACCTGAATCCCTAGAAAACACTTCTCACTTGAGCTCAGGGTTGCTGGGAATGGTGGAGGATACACTGGATGTCTCTCTGACATCGAGGGTGAGGGACCCTAAGTAAGGTAAGATAACCATGCAGAAGGAAGCACCTAGCCCACTGGCCAACATCTGGTGGAGATTCAGGTGTTAAAGCTAGTCCTATCAATGACTCTGGGGTGGGGGGGTATTATGAGATTGCTTTTTAATCCAGTCCAGCCAAGTTAGCCGAAGCAATACAGAGACAATAGCCACACACTCCTTTGGATAAAGTTAAGACATATCCTCAGGCAAAAATACAGGATAAAACCTACTTTGTTTTCTTCTTTCTTCATCATTCAATTGCTGAGTCTTTTTAAAGTTTTTTATTTTAATTCCAGTATAATTAACATACAGTTATATTAGTTTCGGGTATACAGTACAGTGATTCAACAATTCTATACATTACTTCGTGCTCATCACAATAAGTGTCCTCCTTAATCCCCATCACCTACTTAACCCATCCCCCGCCCACCTCCCGTCTGGTAACCGTCAGTTCTCTCTAGTTAAGAGTCTGTTTCTTGGTTTGCCTCTCTCTCTTTCCTTTGCTCATTTGTTTTGTTTCTTAAATTCCACAGATGAGTGAAATCACTGGTATTTGTCTTTCTCTGACTTATTTCACTTAGCATAACATTCTCTAGCTCCATCCATGTTGTTGCAAATGGCAAGATTTCATTTTTTATGGCCGAATAATATTCCTGTGTGTGTGTGTGTGTGTGTGTGTGTGTGTAGGTGTATGTCTGTATATATATATACACAAACCACATCTTCTTTATCCATTCATCCATCTATAGACATCTGGGCTCTTTCATAGTTCCATAGCTTGGCTATTGTAAATAATGCTGCCATAAACATAGGGGGGCGTGTATCCTTTTGAACTAGTGTTTTTGTATTCTTTGAGTAAATACCCTGGGGTGTGATTCCTGGATCGTAGGGTACTTCTATTTTTAATTTTTGGAGGAACCTCCATACTGCTTTCCACAGTGGCTGCACCAATTTGTGTTCCCACCAACAGTGCATAAGGGTTCCTTTTTCTCCACATCCTCGCCAACACTTGTTTCCTGTGTATCTGCTGAGTGTTTTTTAAAAAGTTGCAACTTCACTAGCCTCCTACATCCCTATTTAATTACTAACCAGAACAACCGCCTATAAGATAGGAGGCTGGAACATGTGAATCCTTGAGCTCTCTTCAGCATGAATGTATAAGATTTTGCAATTTATATTTAAAAATCTGCATAATACTTAACACTGTATAAGGAGGGATGACGCTGGACTAGGAAAAGGCACCACACCACTTCATAAAATGTGTGGATAAATGCACCTGTATTAATGCTATATTAATTTAAAAAATATCATGGCATCTTTTATCTCAATCTTTCCCTCTAAAATCTTAACTTGTGACATACTCTTACCTTGCCTTTCTCAATCCATTATCTCAAAAGTGTCTTCCTCCCCTTTAATAAACATTTATACAGAATAGTTTTAGATTTATGGAAAAGTTGCAAAGCTAGCAGAGTTCCTACATACCTAGCACCCAATTTACCTCATTATTAACTTGCTATATTACCATGTACATTGTCACAACTAAGGAACCAACACTGACACATTACTATTAACTACACTCCAAACTTTATTTGGATTTCACTAGTTTTTCCATAATGTCCTTTTTTTTTTTTTTTGGATCCAGGATACCACATTATAGTTAGTTGTCAATGTCTCCTATGACAGTTTCTTAGGCTTTCCTTGTTTTTGATGCTCTTGACAGTTCTGAGGAGTACTGGGTCAGGTATTTTACAGAATGTCTCTCAATTTTGATTTGTCTGATGTTTTTCTCTGGATTTGACTGAGTTATGAAACTTGGAAAGGAAGACCAAGAGAGGGAAAGTGCCAATCTCATAACATTATGTAAAGGGTACACGCTATCAATAGAACATATTACTGAAGGTACTGACCTTGATCACTTGGCTGGGGTACTGTTTGTCAGGTTTTTCCACTGTAAAGTTACTCCCCTTTCCCCACATCCAACTACCTTCTTTGGAAACAAGTCACTCTGCACAACCCACACTTGAGGGGGGAATTAAGCTCCATCTCCTTGAGGGCAAGTGTCTGCATAAACCATTTATAAATCTTCCCTACAGAAGATCTGTCTCTTCCCCATTTATTTATTTATTCAATAATGTGTATCAGTATGGACTGATGGCTGTTTACTTTATAATTTGGATTATAATTTTACACTATGTTATTCTGTTACTCAAACTGTTTCAGCTTTGGCACCTGGACACTCTCTCAGGTGTTGGCTCCTGTGTCCCTTTACACAGCCCCATCACTGTGTTTTTTTGAGTACTTCCTTCATCCTAAGCTGCTTCAGGCTCATCTTATTCTCTGCCACAGCCCTAGTTCTTTGTTCTGGAAAATGGTATTAGAAAACCAAGATCAAGGCACTCTATTTTCACTGCTCTTGGGGTGTCACTGCTCCTACTTCTCTCAGTGGACAGCACTAAAAAATACATGCCTACTAACCCATACACATTCTCATTTTGTTTCTACTTACTTAGAAATGAAATAGTCATACAACTTTTTAGTCAAATGATTCTTTTTTAAAAAGTTCACATTTTTATTTTATTCTAAAGCAAAATAGATTCTGAAAATGGTAGAATTTCCTTAAAATGTATATACGTAGCTGGGTAAAAACATTTACTGAAAGATTAATTTATATGTTATACTAATAAATAATGGGAGGGTTTTTTTTTCATTTAAATATTTCCTAAAGTTATTATTTCTTTCATGTGATGTCAGAACAAAAAAAGTATTTTGCTTTTAGAGGACATAGTTATCATTCATGGGGAAATTTCCATTTTGAAGGGAAAGAAGCATTTATTTTAAGGTGTAATCAAAGCATACTTGTTTAAAGGATGTAGGAATCTGAAAATAAGCACTTTTTGAGTATCACTGATTTCTTGTGAAAACTTTAGTAAGTCTAATGGCTTAAACAGTGATACTGAACTAATTCTAGTTATTTCCACTCTGCTGAAATGTCAGGAAACCTATGGGGAAGGAGGGCAGTTTCATGGATTTTGAGTATGCAGACTTTCTCCAAGCAACTTTCCTATCCCCAGGTATATATTAACAGTCACAGTTGTTCAGTAGTATGATTGAGTTTGAAATAAACTTTATAAATATATATAACAACACTCCTGGATTTAAAACATTAAATACTGGTGCTCCACACCAAATACATTTATGAACTAGCCCATGATATTGTCCCCTCTAACCACCAAAACAAAATTTATTTTATAATTTAGACATTAGCTACAGCTCTGGTTTTAAGAACCTTGCTGAAATAACCAAGGCTGCTGTCAGTCTATAGAGATTTCTTCATATTGGCTGTCAGCATTTCGAACTACCTGGGATGCTTGAAGAACTGGATCCTGATTTAATGCTGGAGCTGGATAAGGAAGTCCAATCATAAGCCGACTCTGTCCTCTTCAAGGCTTCTTGATAGTTCATGTAGAGCTGTTTCCCGTACTAAACAGAAGGCAGTAAATGATGACAACTGAACATTATTGGGTATGATACAGATGGATGAGGTAAGAAAGGGGGATACTTTTCTGTTTACTGATTCATAGTTTGCATTAAAATTTATACCTATAGTACTTCAAAAATTATTTTTAATACCAGTAAATTACCATCAACTCTTATTTATCCTCATTTTAAGAAAGGCAGCAAGAAGTTAACACTTGATTTGTTCATTATCAATATAAAGATTTTTTTGTTATTCCTAAAGCAATTTTGATTTTATAGCTATCATAAATTTTATTTTCACTTAATGGGCATAAATATTCCTTCATGTTTTATGTGTAATCCTCTTCAAGGTGTCCTTAAAATTTTTTTCAAAGACTTTTTTTTTTTAGAGCAGTTTTAGGTTCACAGCAAAACTGAGAGGAAGGTAAAGAAACTCCCCATATGCCCCCTGCCACTATCTGTGCACAATCTCTCTCATTTATCAATATTCTCAAACAGAGGGTACATTTGTTTCAATCAGTGAACCTACATTAACACATAATAATCAAAGTCCACAGTTTACCTTAGGTTCACTCTTGGTGTTATACATTCTATGGGTCTGGAGAAATGCATAATGACATGTATTCACCATTACAGTATCACACCAAGTATGAATATTTTCACGGCCCTAAAAATCCTGTGTCCTGCTTATTTATCCCCCTATTCCCAACCTGAGGCGATTTAATTCTCAAAAAATTTCTTTTGCTTAGGCTAAACTCTGCTGTATAAGAATCATATAATGTGTTCGTCAGAGCCAAAATAAATCACTCTGATGCTACACAAGCTTTTACCAGTAGTATTATTCCATGGATACCAACTGTTAAATGTTTATCCCCTAAGATATTTAAAAAACAAAACTTAGGCCTCAGGAAACACTGACAAAATCATAAACATGAAATGATTAGAATAACTGTCATGACAATCAAAACCATATCATGAAACACCTCATTATTCTATCAAACCAAAACAGAACACCCTACCTTTGCAATGCGGATACCATTGACCCACTGATGCAGGGTCCTCACATCATCACAACAAAGGTACTTGATGTACTGAGATTTCTTCTGGATCTGTGGGTGCTGCAAGATTAAAGGCAAAGTCCAATTCAGTACCCTGAAGAACTAAAGAAAAACTACCAAAGCTTAAACAGACCCTGACAAGTTACAGGTCATCAGAATTACAGCCAAAAATAATTTGTACCTCTTATATGGCCATAAGGCCAAATAACATGGCCCATAAGTATTTTTACAAAATAAACTACAAAGCAAGGCCCCTGGGTGGTTCAGTTGGTTTAGCAGCTGACTCCTGATTTTAGCTCAGGTCATGATCTCAAGGTTGTGAGATCAAGCCCCTGCTTAGGATTCTCTCTCTCTCTCTCTCCCTTTCCTTTCCCTCTGTCCCTACCCCCTGCTCTCTCCCTAATAAATAAATAAAAAAAATAAATTAAAAAAAAAACTACAAAGAAACTTGTGTTAAATTTTAGGTCAAGATATGCAAGTTAAAAAATACCTTTATAGCACAGCAGATCCCCAAATACCCCTTCTGTATCAGAGAAACATAGTCCATTGAGGTTAACAAACTCAACAGAACTCATCTATAAGACTGTGAAAAGGGAAGATTTTGATTTCACTTTGAGCCCACTGGAATCAGGAATTCAGAAGACTCCAAACAAGAGGGTGTTTGGTAAAGCTTCTAGTGCTTCTGTGGAGGTGCCCCGGTGGGTGGGGTGGGTGAGTGCAGGGCACAGCACCTGGAACATGAGTGGGCGCTCATACCTGGTGCAGTGGTGCCCCTGTTGTGGACTAAGCACTGCTCTGCACCCTATCTGCCCACAGCACATGCCCTCCAGGGAATGAGCAGCTTTTCAACTGCATCATCAGATTCAGTTTTCACTTTTCAGCTGCAGTTTGGATGGGAGGTGATTGACTAGACCAGCTATACAATGCAAGTGCTAGAACAGACTTAAGGTATTTTAACTCTACTGGGCCACAACCACTACTTCCCTGGAAAGAAAAACCCTAAATCACACTTGGTTCTGGATGTAATAGTTGTTAATTATTACTTCTCTTTTCAGTTATTCTGAAAAAAATTTTTTAAATGGCTACATTTTACCTGGGGAAATATTTAATATTATGTTAAATTATAAGAGGCTTTAAAGATTCTCTAACCATATTTGTTGTGGAAATCCAGGAGATCAATAAAATAAGCAATTGGGTAAGTTCTCAATGCTGCAGAAATAGACGACCACCCATATAAGTTATGTATCTGCACTGTTAGAGATCAATCTTGGGGCACCTGGGTGGCTCAGGTGGTTAAGCATCAGACTCTTGATTTTGGCTCAGGTCATGATCTCAGGGTTGTGAGACTGAGCCCCGAGTCAGGCTCCACACTGGGCATGGAGCCTGCTTAAGATTCTCTCTCTCCCTCTGCCCCTCCGAACCCCTGCTCACTCTCGCATGTGCTCTTTTAAAAAAAAAAAACAAAAACGGTCAATCTCTCTGGTCTACAACGGGAGAAATTTAAATCCATTTATTCTATTCTATACATTGCTATATAGAGCTCAGCTCCTATAATAAAACATTTAATACCAAAACCAATTAGTTACTAAAGGCTAGAGTGAAAGTTTTAAACAATAAATCATCAACAAAAAGAGGTTGGCAAACGGCATGGATGGAACTAGAGGGTATTATGCTAAGCGAAATAGAGAATGACAAATACCATTTCACTCATACGTGGAAATTTTTTTTTAAAGATTTTTATTTATTTACTTGAGAGAGAATAAGAAAGAGAGAGAGCACATGAGAGTGGGAGGGTCAGAGGGAGAAGCAGACTCCCCGCTGAGCAGGGAGCCCGATGCGGGACTCGATCCCACGACTCCAGGATCATGACCTGAGCCGAAGGCAGTTGCTTAACCAACTGAGCCACCCAGGCGCCCTCATACGTGGAATTTAAGAAACAAAACAGATGGGTGCCTGGGTGACTCAGTTGGTTAAGCAACTGCCTTCGGCTCAGGTCATGATCCTGGAGTCCCGGGATGGAGTCCCGCATCGGGCTCCCTGCTGAGCGGGGAGTCTGCTTCTCCCTCTGACCCTCTTCCCTCTCATGCTCTCTCTCTCTCTATCTCATTCTCTCTCTCAAATAAATAAATAAAATCTTTAAAAAAAAAAAAAGAAACAAAACAGATGAACATAGGGGAAGGGAAGGAAAAATAAAAGATAACAGGTAGGCAAACCCTACGAGACTCTTAACTATAAGAAACAAACTAAGGGTTGTGGGAGGGGAGGAGGGTGGGAGGGTGGGGTAATTGAGTGATGGGCATTAAGGAAGGCATTTGATGTAATGAGCACTGGGTGTTACATGCAACTGATGAATCACTAAATTCTACCTCTGAAACAAACAAACAAAAAAAAAAGTTAGCCAAACAATACTTAACAGTGTTCTCTCCTAATACTATAGGTTCCACAGCCTTCTCTTGGAATATATTCCCTCATCCTTATTAAATCACATTATGATAAACCACCATAGCAATCTTGAAAAAGCAAAGGAGGACAGGTAGAGAAGATATATTTTTCCATAGAATAAGGAAGGGTAATTTTATCTCATTCATTCATGCAACAGGTATTTACTGAATAAGAACTATTTGCCAGGTCTTTAAGTAGGTGTTGGGATACACTGTGAGCAAAACAGAAGCCCCAGTTCGTGCAGAAGATAAAATGGGATGGCTGAGAAAGGGCTTTCGTCGATATTACCAACTAGGGCTTGAAGGGGGCGTCACTCAGGCACCACCTACAGGGCAGGGTTTGGACATCTGAACAAGGGGCTACAGGATGGCTCTGTCTTTACCACCACCCCCTCTTTTTATGGTGATTCATAAACCATTCTTGACTGATTCCATTTTCTGAGAGCAGGGCTACCCACCATGCATGGGTGTTCAACTGTAGCCGTGGCCCTGCCTAAGTGTGTTCTACTTATTCTATACCCTAAGGGAGTGTTTTTATCAACACAACATCAGAGAAAATCAAAGGGAAACAATCCTCTATCCTTTTCTCCTCATTTCTCTAACCTGGGAATCCAAACACCACACGAAGAATACTATGATATGATTTTTTTTATAAAAACATTTTATTTACTTATTTAGGGAGAGAGAACATGCACGCATGCAAGCAGGGGTGGGGCAGAGGGAGAGGGAGACAGAAGAGAATTCCAAGCAGACTGTGCTGAGCAGAGCCTGACAGGGGGCTCCATCTCATGACCTTGGGATTATGAGCTGAGCTGAAATCAAGAGTTGGACACTTAACCAACTGAGCCACCCAGGTGCCCCTATGATATGCTTAAGTATTTGCAAGTCACTTGCTAGGTTAAGGCTCATTTTAGGACCCGGGAAATATTTCCTCCCACTTGAGAGAGACAAGTACGGGGAGAAATAGTCCCTCTTCTTCTGCTGGAAAGAGACAAATATAGGGAGAAACAGCCATCTTCTTCTGCTGGATTTTGCTAAATCCATTGCATGGATCCATCCTCCATGTGATGCCTACAACTGCAGTGGTCATCTGTAACTGTGAGGTGAGCCAGCCTGAGGATAAGCTGATATGCAGAAGATGGAAGAACAGGGAAAGAAGGAAAGAATTTCAGTTCTTACAGACAACCCTGAACTACTGAAATAACCAACTGTTGCTGTCTTCATGTTATGAGGATCCCCCCTAAATAACTTTCACATATATGGATGTCTACTGATATTTACCATCTAAGAAGATTAAAACTAAGAAAAATTTAAAATATGAGAATATACAAGTATTTGTTCCACTACGCAAGACAGCAAAGATATCATCATATCATGTAATCTCTTAGAAAACTCCATTATACGTTTATGAGAGAATGAGAGTGTAAGAGGCAAATAACATCTCAGCATTACTGGAATAATAATTTTGACTCACAGACCCCTTGACAGAGTTTCAGGGACTCCCAGGGGAGCTTGGACTTCATTTTCAAAACTGCGAGATTAAGCTACTTCATAATGACTTTTAGAAAATTATTTGCTGCTGTAACCTAAAGGATATAGTGGTATTCTCCAAAAAAGGATTATTTAATAAAGGGGCACCATTACAATGGTATTTTTATTTTTATCAAAGCAATCAAAAACTCCACCCAAAACCCCAAACCCAACTGATAACTCTCAGAGAAAAGCAAAATCAAACAATGATATAAACATATAGACCTAAGTAGTTACCAAGAGATGACTAAAATAGAGCCAATGAGAAAAACTTAATCATCTCCATAATTATCTTGAATTTTAAAATGTTGTCTTTATCAGTAGCATCAATCTAATTAGGGCTATTTAGCTAGAGGTCAGCTGTGGTGTAAGCACATACTTCTTTTCCTTACCATTCTTCACCATTCCTTTAAAAGCCTATAGGAAAAGCAAAAACAGTATACTTGATAGAGATACAAACCATTCTAAAATGTCCAATAACTCACTCTATGTCTAACATCAACTAAAATTCCTAAAAAGGGAATGTGTTTACCTTTAGCACCAGACAATAATCTGTAGGTGCTTTGTATTTGTTCCGGTAGTCCTGTCCATAATAAACATTGACATGATCCAGTTGGAGAAAGCATACCAGTTCCCGAGAGACCTAAGATAAAAACACCAAAAAGACTGACTTAACAATAATGTATAAACAAGCAAATACCATACCTGGTAATAGTTTCCAGTTGAGAATAAAAACTTTACAAAGTGGAAACCAATCTATTTTGCAGATGACAAGACAGTGAGATTCTCTATTAATGTTCCTTCTTTAACCCAGGATACAACAAAAAAGCAGTCCATTTCTGTCTGCCATTCACAATGAACACAGACTTGCTTGGAAAGGGTGGCATTTTAAGGAGACTTTAAATATAATACAGCATATTAAATATAGTATATAGTAGAGCTCTGGAAAAAAACATCATGTAGTTTGGTGCTCATAATGTGTATCTCAAGTACAGTGATTCTCAAGTCAGGGTTTCCTCACCTTAAATAGAGGAAACAAAATATGCCTCTCGGGAGGGTGGTAAAGCCTAGATGAGAGGATGCTGTAAGGAGTTTAAAATAGTGCGGGCCCCCACTAAGCACAGAAGTGGCAGCTACCAAGGGGACCCTCAGCAGGAGCATATTATCCAAGAAAGGCTGAAATACCTATAATCCCAGAAAGCTATTCTCCCCAAACAATAACAAGCAAAAACTACTCTGACAGAAGTTCTGAAAATAATAAATAAAAGTATGACTTCAAATGTGGCAAGAGAACTGAAATGGGCCCAATGAATGTCAAGAGAGTGAACACGTCCAGGTTTCTTCTTCTTTATAATAGATCAATAAACAAAGCAAAGCAATATTCTGTGTGTCCTACAACAGCTGAAACAAGGGATGCCTGGGTGGCTCAGTCGGTTAAGCGTCTGCCTTTGGCTCAGGTCATGATCCCAGGGTCCTGGGATCGAGTCCCACATCGGGCTCCTTGCTCAGCAGGGAGCCTGCTTCTCCCTCTGCCTGCTGCTCCCCCTGCTTGTGCTCTTTCTCTCTTACTCTGTGACAAATAAATAAAATCTTTAAAAAACAAAAAAAGAGTTGAAACAAATCAGAGCCTGGATTCACCTTGTCAGCATACTTACTACAAATTAACTGTCATAATGAGGAAACTCAAAAGTCAGCAGAGGGGACACACCTTTGCTTTTCCTTTAGGGACATAGTAGATACCAGATGCTCGCAAGAGAAAATAACGCTTTTTCCAGGACTTTTTGCCATCATCTTTCAACCACAGGACTCCTTCAATTTCTGGTACAGTTACAGAACTTCCACAAAAACATTCCTAAAATAAGAAGATGATTTGGAAAGACATGTGATCTTTCGATTCTCAGAACAAAATTGTGTTTACTCCTGTGAAGTTCATACTATAATTATACCAAAATGGCTTTGGTATTAAGGCCACATTGCTAACATTACCTCAATTAGAACTTTGTATTCTAAACATACAGATTCATTTTGAAACTACTATGGCAATCCCTATGAACTTTTACCTAACATTGTTTTGAAGAATCTAAATTGAATTGTCAACTGAGCTGCATACAACAGGATTTAAATGCATCTGTACAGCATAGTAACACTAAATTTAGTAAAAGTGTCAGTTAACATAAGCATTAGACTTTATTTTTCTCCAAATTAACAACACATTTAGATTAGCTGTCAAATCAAATTTGTTTTAAAAAGCAACATGCTAAGTGAGTAAACACAATTTAAAAACTGTATCAATTTATATGATTCTAAAACAAAAAGGACATTTATTTTTTAAATATTTAAAACTAGGCTGAAAGGAATGTAAACAAACTCAAAATTATGAATTCTAATGTCTGTACTTAGATAAAAATGTAATTAAAAAATCAATCATGTATTTGGCAAGAGAAAAATAGAAATCCTCACTAAATGTTAACATAGGACATTTTGAGCCTAAATTAACTTCTCTCTTCCCAAAGTACAGAGAAACCATGAATTACAAAGAGGATTTTTAATTGTAGCTATTATCACTATGAAAAGCTGAGTGCTGATCTTCATCTTCCTGCCTTATTGCTAAGAATTTATTCTGGTTTTCAAACATACTAACTTCTTTGATTTTAGTTCTCTAAAATCAGCAAAGGCCAAAAACCTAAAAACTGAATTATGTTTGAATTTGTTTTATTAAAATAAGGGGATGTGTGTGTGTGTGTGTATATATATAAAATGATCATAATTTTTTTAATTGAGTTAAAGCTAAGGCTTGAAATATTTTGTAAATAACCAGTATATTCAAATTTCTCTCTAGGTGAGCAGATAAAGCACCATAATCATGTCCTTCATTAAGCAGCCTTTTTCCCCACTTGTCTGCTCCTAACAGCTCATGACTCCTTTTAGTCCACTAATATATTACTTGGCAAAATAACAGTTTTTAAGAGGTTCTTCAGTGGCCTAACATTCACACAGCTGAACTCTCCCCCTCACGCTATGGAGGAATATAGGCTTCTCTAGTTACAAGTGTAATTATGAATATATAGTACTGACATACTTGATTTCAAAAAAGGTGCTTAATATTTTAATATTGTAATGTGCAGGAAAAAAGGGGGTGGGGGGAGTGAAGAGTCATACCTCTAACAGCACTTCCTTGTTTCTATCTGCCATCTCAGCAGTTTCCTTTTTCCCCAGAAGATAATTCTGGAAAAATAAATAAATGAAAGTTAAAGATAAACCCACCCTATTATTCCCTTGGCACAGGTGCATATATGATTTCTTCTAGAGATATAGCAACTGTGTCTGCCTGTATAGAATGACAGGAATACTGCTTTGAACATTAACTTGTGCCTGAGCATCATTGCTAAAATGCTTAATGCTGGCCTTCTCCTTACTTTAGCCATTATCTTGAAATATTTCATAAACTGCCCTCCCCCAAATCCTGGGATGATACCACATCCAACAGCTGACAAATGTTATGTACAACTAATCAAAGGACCTGAAAGGTTTACAAATTAAGTACAATGAGTAAGGTAAATTTCCTTAAAATATGCTAAGCTTAACTGACCCAGATGCAGAAAATTTATGTTCTGGCTTTGAAAGAAGAAATCCCCAATTCTCTGACACTATCATCATATCACTTGCCTCAACTAAAATCTGAATTCTATTAGCCTTATAAAAAACTTTTTTGCAATCACCTATAAAAAAATCTATTGGTAATCCCAAATGTGTATTATTCACTAAAAATATCCAGTAAAGATGTGTCATGATTAAGCTGTCTGAAGGATATTTAATACTTTTAACACTACTACTATTTTTCATTACTTCTTCTCTCACCTACTGATTTTTATAAAATATTTGTGTATTACGAATTATTAACTCAAACATTATTCTGGAATAAACAAAGATGCCAAATAAATCAAGGTAACATATATTAAAAGTGGAACCATTTATAATCAAGGTTATTGAAATTAAAAAAATATATATTAAAGTGTCAACTGGATAAATGGAGAAAGTAGAGAACTTAAATATGTAAGTACTTTTCTTTGATGGAAGAGAAGCTCACCAAGTAAATAGCTGAATTCAACAGCTCTGGATTACAAAAAGCAGAAACCTGGTAACTCCCTGGAGTTACTTCTGCCGCCCCAAGGGCTCAGTCCATCTGGCTCTGGGTGACTGGTAATCTCTTTGAGGCCTGACACCTGGGCCCCAGAGGACTTTCCACCTCAGTGGAAGTAGTAAATGGAAGCAGTTAATACTCCCATAGTAAATGCTCCCATGGGGTTTTGCAATCACAATGCTCCAACCAGGTGGTTGCCAGTTTTTTAGCTCTATTAACTTAAAATAGAATAATATGAACATTTAGAAACATGATCTCTGTAAGATATTTGGCCTCACCTGTGGGTTTTTGAAAAGTGCATATTTTTCTATACGTTCCATAAATACAAGCTTGTTTTGGCTATCTCTTGTCCAATTAAGAAGATTTTCAACCAAGTTTTCATGGTCTTCAAAGATTCTCTCTGTCCCAAGATAAAATATCAGTCCTTTGTTAGTATTCATCAGAACTGCATCAAAGACATGAAACCTTGTGAAGTAATTCCAAGCAGAACCACAGAATTTTACTTGACATTATAGCTCTTGGCCCTTAGAAATGATCTAGTCTTCCCTCTATTTTCAAATAAGGAAACATGCCCACTGTGTTAACTGACTTCAGCAAAGTCACACAACTGCTACATGGAAGAATTAGGACTAAAATATAGGTCTTCTGTTAGGTTTTCCTCAGCCTTCAGCCTTTTCCCATCCACCCTTGAAAAAACAAAAACCAGGGGTGCCTGGGTGGCTCAGCCAGTTAAGCATCTGCCTTCAGCTCAGGTCATGGTCTCAGCTCCTGGGATCAAGCCCCTCCCTCCAGCTCCCTGCTCAGCGGAAAGTCTGCTTCTTCTCCCTCTCCCCCAGTTCATGCTCTCTCTCTCTCTAAAAAAAAAAAAAGACTGTAGCCAATTACATAAAAGGTAGTAGAGAAATATTATATATATGGGTCTTTAACCTACAGCCATGGACATATTCCAAAACAGTATCCAGACATTTTCTGTGTATCATGATGCCACATCTATGAACTCAAACCTTTCTAATTCTCTAAGAATAGTTATGAGTATTATTAGAATACATTTTATACACGTTAATAAACTAATAACTTATGTTTAGGGGGCTATGTTTGTGCGTTCTGACAAAAGGGTTATCAAATTTTTATTTCTCTGGAAACCAATGTGAAATATTTAAATAGGTTCTAAGAGCAATGCAAATACTTTTTAAATTAAAATATAAAGTTGAAATTGATTACTGATTAAATAATACCTAATAAAATAACAATTGCCAGGTGCTATAATCACACAATACTATAAAAAGAAAACTTTTTTTAGAGTCAATGATGGCGTTAAAAATTAGGAATTTTTAAAATTAGAAAACACCACACTAAACTATAAATCATAGGAAATTAAGATTTAGTACATCTAGCTAAAAATAAAAAAGATAGGCTTTATGTTTTCCCTAAAAGTCAAATTCTGGTATAAGAAATTCAGAACAAATATGAATAAATAGAATGGTCTTAGTAAATGTGTCTGTCTATGCAGTTATTTGAAGGGAAAAAGTATTTTGTTACTTTAAAAAAAAAAACAGTTTTAGCCATAAGACGATCTGAAGTGAACTGGAAATGATCTTGTATCCAAAGCAATCTCAAAATACTTGGAGGAAAAAAAAGATAACGTAAAAAGCTAAGGCTATATATAGGAAAAAAAAGATGACTCAAAGTGCTTTAGTTAACAAGAAAACTGTTAGGATTGCATAGAAATTAAAAAGTAAATAAAGCAATTAGATTACTAACCCATTTGTAATTCAGAGATGGTTTCTACCAGCGACCAGTCTAAACTATAACCGCAGTGGGATTTGTCCATTAGGTTATCCAGCACTTGTCTCACTGTCTGCCTCTCATCCACCATCATTGTTTTAGAACTATCATCAGACATGTGGACTCTAATCACCAACTATAACAGGTAAAAAGGAAATTAAATACAAACCAAAAACTAGGCATTCTAGAAATTTCTTCCAATATCAAGTCATCTTCTGAGTAACGTTGTTCTTAGTTAAATATAAATTAAAACACAAAAAATGACTTTATTATGCGAGAAGGATATTCTAAAATTAGGTATCAAATAACCTACCTAAACAAATTGAAAGCATTTTTAAAATTATAATAACAGGTAAGATTATAATAAGACTATTTTGTTTTACTCTTTTAGGAAAATTTAAAACAAAGTTATTTCTTTATAACAACATTTTATCTACAAAAAACATATATGAAAAATATATTAGGAAGAAATATCCCTCTACCTCTCTGTATCTTTAAGGTATGTTATATAAACAAGGCAATTCTTTATAAATCTGATAGAAAAAAACTGATAAAAAAAATCCCAAATGAAGAAAAAGCCCAAATATCACCTTTTTCACTTGTGCCTCTTTAATTTTCTCCAGGGCAACTCTGATCTTCTCAGCTTTCAATTTTGCTGCCTGTTCTTCCTGTGAACACAAAGCACTGCAGATAAACTAATGCTAAAATAATGAGAATTTTTGAACTCTTTTTATCTTAAGGATGTTGCCAGTATTGAATTTCAGTAAGAATATAACTTCACATACTTATATAGAGCACATTTAAAAAATAACCCTGTTCACAAAGTGAGAACAGACATAGTACACAAAGGAACATTTTTAAGATGGAGACTTTAAGATCTCTTATATTAAGAGACCAGATTCCATCTTCCATCTTCTAGAGAAAAAGAAATCTGTGATATAGCAAATTAATGAGTTTGATTCTGTCAATCTGAAGCAGATGAATTTCAGACAGAAGAAACAGGAGTGTATAATGGGCTCTGTGCTGGCCTACCAGTTTGCCATACCTGCACAGTCCCTTGACTCTGAATTTATACCCGCCTCCGAAGTATGGGCAATCTTTTGCATACTAATGTTTTGTTCTGTTATACTGAAAATGTATCATTACCATAAAACAGCAAAAAACAGTATCTATTTCTTTGCAACCACATAAAAATCCTTAATAAAAAATATAGGTATGTTCTCATCAATATACCAATGCAAACAAAGGAGGATGCATTATACTCTAGGTTTCATTCTGTTTTGCAAAGTACACAATATAATCAATGTCTCATGTTAGTAAACTCAAATTTGTTTCTATTAATTCAATGATGAAATTCTTAAAATGCTAAATATAATTTTCCAAATATTTAGTTTCTAGTGACTTCTTTATAAAACTGATTATAAGTAGTAATAAAATTATCAAGAACTATAATTATAGTCACACCATTTATTTTTTCCTAAAATAACATATAGTATTGTAATATAGGTACTTACCTGTACTTTCCAGCAATAGGCCATTGTACACTGTAGCCTTAATCTCCAGTTGAAAAAAACTCATGTAAGTAAATCTTCGCTTTTTATGAAGGATTACTTTCTAACTCTAAGCTTTTGATTACTCTGGAAAATATCTAAGGAAAATATACATTGCCATCTTATATATTCCTATATTTAATATAAGACTTAAAACAAAAGAAAGACCTAGTTATATCAGCCAATTTTATCTGCTCTGGATTATGATTTAAAAACCATCCATTTCATTCTCTAGGCTATCTTCCCTCATTTCAAGCTTAGTAGTTACTACTCTGTAGAACAGAGAAAACAGTAGTTAGAGAAGACAGTGGGTTTGTTTGCCAGAAATCGGATCCTTTTCAATGAAAGGAGCCAGTGAATTAACATAATAACCAAGGTGTGGAAATACTATCTGTAAACCCAATTAGAGAACAAAGAACTTTATTTTAACAATGGAGGGGGTAAGATAAGACTTGATTCTTAGACTATTATATAGTCATTTGATTATAAGATCAAATCATTGTGTCCCTGCCTTTATGCAAATAAACATAATTATAAAATATGTTGCCTAAGTTATTTTTTTATTTTAATAAGTTATTTTTTTCTCTTTAATGCAGGCTATACAATGAGAAAACTACACTACTGTCATTAAAACTCTCAGTTTCTGGAATAATGTGTCTTAGATAAACAAATCATTGTTAGTTAAATTACCAAACCTTGTGTTTTTGATGAGTATAGCACATACTCTAGAAAGGAATTTTGAATACTACCATTTCCCAGTGGTTTCATGAAACCAGCTGACAGGTTTTTTTTTGGAAGAGAAAGAGGGAAGCAGGAGCTTTATGAATGTTTTCTCAATGGGATAACCATCTTCTGTTTCTCATGGCTCATTTGCTACATCTTTGTATTAGTATGAATGACTGTTACAGAGAGGAAAAATTTACCAAGGCATATTTTCAAGTTTTACTTCATGTCTCTGAAAAGCAAATTTAAAAATCTCAAAGTCTGATAAGGAAAGACTGATACATAAAATCAATGCTTTGTGTATTTGGAATATAAACATGAACTTCTAAAAGGCCAAATTCTTTTATAACATAATTATTCTGCAGAAGTTAAAAAAAAAACTCAAGAAAATGAACAATCCAATAAAAAAATGGGTGTTCTAAAAGACATGAACAGACAACTCACCAAAGAAGATACACAGATAGCAAATAAGCCCATGAAAAGATGCTCAATATCATGTCTTTAGGGAACACCAAATTAAAACGAGATTATCACTATACCGCCTATTAAAATGGCCAAAATCCAAAACACTGAAAACATCAAATGCTGGTGAAGTAGAGGATCAACAAGAACTCACATACATTGCTGGTGGGAATGCAAAATGGTAGAGCCACTTTGGAAGATAGTGTGGTGGGTTCTTATAAAACTAAACATGCTCTTACAATATGATCCAGTAATGCTCCTTAGTATCTACCCAAATGAGATTTTGATTACTCTGGAAAAAATCTACACCCAGGTGCTTCTAGCAGCATTATTTATTTATTTATATTTTTATTAGCAGCATTATTTATAATTGCTAAAACTTAGAAGCAACCCAGATAGCCTTCAGTAGGTGAATGGGTAAACTGTGCTACATCCAGCCAATGAATATTACTCGGTGCTAAAAAGAAATGACCAAGCCATGGAAAGACATTGAGGAAACTTAAATGCATATTACTAAGTGAATGAAGCCAATCTGAAAAGGCTGCATACTGTATGATTCCAACAATGACATTCTAAAAAAGGCAAAACTATGGAGAAGGTAAAAAGATTAGTGGTTGCTAGGGGTTGGGGAGAAGGAGGGATGAATAGGTGGAACACAGCACTTTTGTAAGAGTGAAGCTATTCTGTATGATACTACAATGGTAGATACATGCATGTCCTTAACACATTTGTTGAAATCCACGGGATGTACAACATGAAGAGGGAACCCTAATGTAAACTATGGACTCGGGGTGATAATGATGTGTCAACAAAGTTCATCAGTTGTATCAAATGTACCACTCCGGTGGGAGATATTGATTATAGGGAGGCTATACATGTGTGGGGGCAGGTAGTATAAGGGAAATCTTTGTACCTTCCCCTCAAATTTACTGTGAATCTAAAACTGCTCTAAAAAAATAAAGTTTATTTTAAAAAAGAATATACAAATTTAAATATTACATTCTGATATTGGTTATAAATATAAAAATAGTATTTTCATACTCCCATTTTAGTGTGATATTATTTGCCAAATACAACAGAACACAACCAGCGCTATCTTTTGAAGGATTGATATAAAAAGTCGTTTAATTGTAAGATTAGTTTAAACCAAGTTTCTGTTCTACAGGCTAACAGGAAAAATACTGACACAGTGGAAGAAAGGATAAAAGAAACAAGAGATTCAGTGCAATCATTTAACATACGTTAAACAAATTAGATTTCCTAGCCATCAATAAGAAACCATCTTTTTGTAAAGCACCTAGGTGGGGCTATTTTAACTTTAACATCCAAATTTAGCTCTTCCATTTGCTCAAAATACTACTCTTTAATAACTACATAAATTGATCTGTTTTAAAACTGTATAAAATTCAAATTTAGGAGCTCTGTGCTTAATTTCAACCTAGGCAAATTTTAGTTTATTCTTCCCCAGTTTATTAACAAGGATGATCCTTGCTAGAAGCTTTTTGAAGAAACAACTGATCAAGATACCTCTTACTTTTAGAGTCTGAATATCATCACTGGAGCAAAACTGAAAATAAAAATACTTATATCAAATTGCAAGATTCATAGTATTTTATGCTTCCATAACCTCTTCCTGAGAAAGTTTGATTTTTACCCACATTTCCATGGTATATTCATATCTTTACTTTTAACCATTACAACCTAGGGGGAGGAAGAAATTGTTTTAAGCTCATAAAGTATGCAATATAGGAAAGGTCAATAAATCTTTGCTGATGTGATTAGACTATACAGGAAGAAGACATCTGATACTTTACTTATAAAGGCAGTGTAAATCTATGTTCAATGTCTGCAGCCTAATTTCAATACAATGAACAAAGCTTTATTCATCTCATGTTCTCCTCTTTTTGCTAATGCAGACCACCTCGGTCTTAAGCCTTCTGCCCCCTTACCTTCTGACTATCCCTTTCTTCACGTTGTTTGTCCCACAGCCATCCTCAACATAAGTAAAAGATATCTTACACATATAACAACTTTCTCTTTTACCCTGTCTCTTAAAAGAGCAAAAGACAACCCATTTTCTACCTAAAAAACTCCTGTGCGGCTATCAATAACCATCAAATGCCAAGCCTCCTCAAATTTACATAAAGAACAAAAACTCAGTGAAGATCTTATGATTAAATGAAAGGCAATGCTGTGGTTACAAAGTGTTAAAAACATTCTCTTGAGTGTAAAAATTAGAATACTGACAGGAAGAGTGACAGTTGCTAAGAGATGGCCAGTGAATTCCTTCAACTAAAAAATTATTAAGGCTTTGTAGGTTCAGAACAAATCCAGTTGAAATTAAGGGGCTCAAAAAGGAATTAGCAGTTTCTTCAGGATCTAGTTTCACACTTTACAGCAATAAAAAAATTAGATAAATTTAAAAAGTTTCAAAGAAAACTTGGAGTGGTAAGTTCACCACCCATGAAATGCTCTACTCTAGAAAATTACTTAAAGCCAGAATAATAACAGTAACAAACTACTTTACTTCCCTGACATTGATAGACTTTCACTGAGAAGAGAACTAACATCAACTGAACACCTAAAACTTGCCACACACTATGAGGCGTGGTTACACACGGCATCTCATTTAATTCTCAATAATGCAAGGCCAATATCACTATTATATACATTGTACTGATTAAGGCTCAGAAAGACTAATCTTTCTAAGATCAAACAGGCAGTTACCCAATGACTAACTACTTGCTCTCTCCACTAGCAGTAAGTAAAAACTAATTGTCAAAAATGAAAGACTTACAGTAATATAATAGCACTTTTATAACTTCTCTGAAGCAAAGAAAAATGGTGGTTAACATTACAACAGTTCTTGAAGGTCACTAAAGGACCATTCTGTGACAGATGTTTGTTGAGACTGTGCAGGCTTGGGTCTGACT